GCAGTATCTTGCCCAAATGGCTAGTCTTGCCATTTTGAAAGCAAACTTCATAATGCATTTCTTTGATGTCCATCTTCCTTTCTGATGCAGGTGGTGTTGTCTCACTGTCAAGAAAATCCCTAAAACATTTTAAATGCCATATTCTGTTGGTCTTTGAAAGGTTTGAAGAATGTCTATCTGTCTCAAATACATCTTGAAAACCTAACTAACTTAACTCTAAGTTTTCACTGTCATAGGTAACTATCTATAATCTGTGCTAAAATTATACATTACATTTTTACACAATCCCTAAACAAGAGGAGAAATATACATATCACAAAATTGACCTTAAATTGTAACAATAAATGAAAATCCATTCCAAAACAAAGTATTCATATCTATATTCCCCTTTTACCTTTAAAGAGATTGGTTGTGATCATTAACCACATAACCAACCCTATTTAAATGAAAACAAACATTTATAAACAATATTTGGGAACTTGGGAGTCATTCTTTCCAAACTGCTTCCTGCTGGTAGGGGGCGCTGTCATGGGGATCCTAAGAAGATGCAGATATCTTGGCTGTAGTCTGCAAGGCTGCTATGTCCCAGCTGTTTTGAATGTTGGATCACCTGGTACTCTGTTTAAGGGGGTCTGGCTTGCTCAAACCATGTCTGGAAGGAATCCGCAGCTTTGTATTTGGAAACAAAATATTGGAAACAAAAATAGAAATCCTTTTCCCCAGAAACTTGTCCTTGAACTTAAATTTTGGAGTCAAAGCATTTTAAAATATATAAATTGAATTAATTCAGCAGCATTTCTTTTAATAGTTATTATTTCCTCAGCAGCCAAAAGATACAAAGACTATATAACCCCATACAGTATCCAGATTCTCTCTGAGCTTTTCATTTTTAAGTGGCTTTTTTATTACTCTATTTCTTCTACTTCTATTTTTACATATTTTGAGACAAGGTTTCTCTGTGTAACTTTTATCTGTCTTGGAATTCACTCTGCATACCAGGTTTACTTTGCAATCATAGAGATCTGCTTGCCTCTGTCTCCCGAGTGCTGGGATTAAAGGCGTGTGCCACCACACCCAGCTCCTCGCTGTCTTTTTAAAACCATTTTATTCCTTTTCTCTCCCAAGCTTACGTATATTTTAAAAAACACTGTAAACCTTTAGAGGTTTTCTTAATGTGACTCTGTACTGTAAATCTTTATCTTTTTGTAGCCATGAGTCTTTTATCTGGTAAACAACAACATTGCTAAAATGAAAGCCATAGCTGTATTAGACGTGGTCTATCCAAGATGGCGGCAGGCACTTTTACCGCCAGAACTGAGAACTGTGCTCACTGCCTTGGTCTACGCTGCACCCAGCAGCATGCTGCTGGCTTGGAGATGTGTTCACTGCCATTGCCAGTTCTTGTACACAACAGTAAGTTGTTAGCAGAGCTCTTTAAAAGCCTTGAGGGTTTTTTTCCCCCATTTATGCTGAGTCAGGAAATATCCTTTAAAGGAGCCTCGCAAATCTTTGCTTGTCTCATGCAAAACAGAGTCCAACCCAGAAAAATGCTGTTAGCAAGAAGCCTTGCTTGTCTTTGTTCTTTTGTTTCTAAAACCCTTTTTTAAGCTTTTGTTAAATTTTAAGTGGAAGTACTTACTAGCCATGTTGCGGCGCCATATGTAAGGAATGAGGTTTTCCTGCCTGCCTGGACCCACCATGGCGCCAGCCCCAAATAACACACAGAGACTCTGTATTTGATATAATTCTGTTGGCCTGTTACTAGTTTCTTATCAGCTAGCTCTGTTTTAATTGTTAACCCATTTCTATGACATCTCCCATCATACCAGGGTCAGGGAGACAGATTCTCAGTCCAGAAAGTACTTGCCAGGCAAGTGAGGACCTGAGTTCATCCCCAGAAGAACTCAGGTTTTTTGTTTGTTTGTTTAATGCAAGTGTGATATGATGCCTACGTGTGTAATCCTAACACAGGGGAAGTGGAGACAGGGAAGTTCCAGGCCAGTGTAATAGCTCAGAACAAAAGATAGTCTGAGGAACAGACCCCAAGGTTGTCTCCTAGCCTGCACATAAATGTATACATAGCTATTCATGCACACAAATGGAGATGCTCTACCAAAAACAAAAGCCTCTGTATTAGATGTCTATCACAAATCAACTTATAAGAGTGAGGGAATTATTGACCACTTGGTTTTGTGCCTGTGGTAAGGCAGTCATGACTGAAGCATGTGGTGGGAGAGGGACAGGGGAGACGGACAAGTCAATATTCTTTTCAAAGGCATACCCCAGCGACAAGTTCCTTCTGCTGTCCCCTTCCTAAATATGCCATCAGCTCGCAGCAGAGCCATAGGTTGCTGATGGAAACTTAACACATGGCCTTGAAGAGATATTACAGATCCAAAGGTCATCGGTCTTTCAGAATAAGGTAAAGGAACAATGGAAAGAAATCAAACCTACACAAAGGGGTGAAAAATGATAGACACAGGTACAATGTAAATACATTTTATTTTTTTTCCCTCTTCCTGATTTGAGACAACTCCAAAAAGCTATCTTAAATTTACGTGAGTGCGCACGTGCACACACACACACAAACACACACACAATTTGTATGTGACAACATCAGTCGGCACTATAACCTCCTGCATGAAGGATTCTAAGTTTTGTAGGAGTGTATTTTTGTTTCTTTGGGTGCCATATTTAAGAAGCATTTGCCTGTATAAAAATCAGATATTTACTTCATTTTCTTTGTTTTACATTTCTTGCTTACATCTAAATCTAGGATTATGTAATGACATATTTTGCCCTTTATTCTTTCAGCTATGCTTCAGGTTGCAAAGTCTCTAATTTTCAAGTTTGTTGATTCTTCTACCAGTTCAAACCTCCTGTTAAGCTGCTATAGAGTATTTGGCTTTGAGTTCAAAATAGTCATGGGGTTTCTAAAAAGATTATTTATTCTCTCTAATGGATGAGGAATTACTAAACTTTCCTCAGTTCTTTGAATTGCTCTCCTTTAGTTTATGAACATAGTTATCAATGCTGTTTATCACTTACCTGGTCCACCTCTCAAAGGTCTCTAGATGTTTTTCCCTGATCACATTCTTAATTCTGTATTTCATAATTTTGTATGGAAACTGAACATTTTATGTAAAGTTTTGCACCTGGACCTTTATTCCTGTCATCTTACAACACACACACACACACACACACACACACACACACACACACACACACACTCCTCCAATACACTACTTTGTAGTGACTTGGCTGGACCAAATCAGAAGCCTAGTTCTGCCTCAGATGTTACTATCCAAGCACCTGAGCACCTGTTCTGTTTTTTTTTTTTAGTCTTACTTGCCAAGAGTTGCTCTTGGGTCTGTTTAGTGGTCAGTCCTCTATATCTGTAAAGTATACTCCCCTTGCTACAAGATACATGTCTTAAAGTCAGCTTTTACTGCTGATGGAGTTTACAGATTTGCCCGTGTTCAGCCAGGAATGTGTAACCCAGAGCCCCTCTGTTCACTCCCCTGCATTTATAGCTTGCAGGTGCCCACTCTATTTATTAGGAGATTAATTTTCCCCGGGGTTCCACTTTCACTTACCCCATCCTTAAACTCCCAGGTGGTACCTTTGATATAATCCATAATTGTTGGCCTTCCCTAAGTTCTTCCTGGTTGCGATTTTTAGCAATACTATGGGGTAGGAACTGCTCGTGTTTTGAATAAAACTATGACCTGTGATTGGCTTAAAGCATCACTTTGACTGGATTAAAGAATACCTTAAGAACTGATAAAGGTTTTTGTTTGTTTTCCAGAGGTGGTGGGCATAGGGCATGTTGTCTCTCCCTTTAAGTCTGAGACATTCATCTGCCCTTGGATGTCAGAGCCAGTCCTCTGGCTCTCAGGCTTTTGATCTCAGACTGAAGGATCATACTGATTTACAGGCTTGGGGACTTGTTCTGAGCCACACTACCAGCATCTTTGAGTCTCTAATCTGCAGACTACTTATAGGGCTTCCCGGACTCCCTAAGTGCAGAAGGCAGTCCCTCCAATAGAAGTCATGTATAGCAGTATCTTGTGCTGGTTCCACCTCTAGATGACCTCTACTGTAGACTCCTTGAGATAGGCACTACGTAAGTCTTTGAAGCTTGTTCCAGCACTCCTCTGAACAGCCTCTTTGCTCATGGCGCTAGAGGTTGGGGAAGGAGGCAAGGCAATGCTGAGGGAAATGCAGTCAGTGATTTTTTAGTACACATAGTTGTCTACTGGGAAATACTTTCTTAGACTAGATTTTCCTTTAGAGAAGTCATGCAGATTACCTTGTACCCTTTCCTATAAAATAGGTCTGTTTCATTATTAACATTTGTTTAGAAATCCAACTCTTAGTGTACATCTTAAAAATTTCAAGATATGAAACCCAACAATCTTCAACTAATATTTCCCTCTACCATTAATATTAATATTTTGCTCTTTTAGAAAACAGCTCATATGTATGGGCATTTTGCCTGCATGCACATTTGTTCACATGCATGCAATGTCCTGGGAAGCTAGGAGAGGGAATCCGAGCTCATGAAGCTGGAGTTACAAGGGATTGTGAGCCAGCACTTGGGTGCTGGGACCTGAAACTGGGTCCTCTGTGAGAGCAAGTACTCTTAACCAGTGAGCCTCACTCCCAGCCCCTGAAATGTATTTTGAATGTTATGGACTGTCAGGGTGGCTTCTTCTCTCTTATTTACAGACAGTAACATGCTACTTATGGACCTATCCATAACAACAAAGTTCAACTCTACAGCTACTAATGTGCTGAAGGTCAAGAGTTTCCCAGCAAAGCCAAGGATGTTACTGTAAATGTGACATTTCTCAAAGTTCATCGATAATTTTAGAATTAAAAATGAAAAGTCCTGTATTTACTCTGTAGTCATCACAGACATTAGAGAGAAGGGGAGGTATTTCCCATTAGGATTTCCATTAGGTTTTAGCCCAGTTAAAAAGAAAATAACTCTCATGTAAACACAAGCTTAAGTTTAATTGAAGAAAACTTTCAAAACCTTCATTAACAATGAACAAGGAAATTAACAATGCTTACCATTCTTTAAACATCATGTACATTATTAATATATACTGTGTATTTCCAATCAATTTCACTCAGGCTCAATTAAAAAACACAATTATAACAGGTTTTATACAAAAAATACTCCACTAAGAAAGTAGATAAACTGCACAAAAACAGTATAAGTATAATGTGCATAGCAATATAGCTTGAAGCATCTATTTATGGCTTTTTTTTTTTTAAATCAAAACAATTAGGGGAATGGGCCCATTTAGGACCTACTGTTACAGTTGGCTTATGTAAACTGTTCACATAATTTTTAGGCACTTGCTAAAATAGTGTTTAATCCCTGAAAAAAATAAAATGTATAAACCAAAAAAAGGTCAGAAATAAAAAAAAAAAAAAAAAACAGTAGGATAACATGGGTACAGTCTCCTTTTTATATCACCCACTTTTATTAATGCATGCACAGAACTGAAAGAAAATAATTATTGTGTCATAAACTTTCTGTGCAAATTTACATAATCAAGTACAAAAATATGTACATTTTATATATACAAAAAGAAGCCCTGAAGTTTGGATCCAACCAATGAAGTGTCATTAATATGTATAGTAACAAAAAATTACATTGTACGTCATATTTAATAGAACTCCATTATCCAATGAGGCAAAAACAATTGATAATAAAGTGTATGGTAACCTAAGATCAACAATTATTAAGAAAGTCCATTTTGAAATTGTTGGACATGTCTCTTAGGAGTTTTTCTTAAAATTTTATGAACTGCTACTGAGTCCATCATTAATGCTTGCTTCTCTATTTTCAAATGCCAACTATTCTATTTCGGGTTGTTGGCCATCCTCAAAAGCTACTAATGAAAACAGTCTATCCTGAAGTGGACATGTTTAGGAAAGAACAGTAATTAAACACAAGCAAAAATATGATCTGCTTTGCTAACCTTGTTTCAAAATATTATCTATGTAAAAATAGTTTTAATTTTCAAGAAAAGCCATTTCCTTCTAAGTGTTTCTACATTCTTTCTGTTCATTTTGAAGGGTTGCCAACCAAGGGAGAAAAAAAGCCCTTTGGTTATGGACACCTCTAATCAGATAAGCTTAATGTGCAGGGGACAACTGGAAAATAGAACCAAATTCAGGAAAATGTTGACTTTCAAGTGAATTTTACAGAAAGTTTCTTTCTCCTCTGGAGACTGCTCCATTTACTTCAATGATTGAGCCAGCCACAGAAACAGAGAATCATCTTGGGAGGGTATTCTTATCTGATACAGGGCAGCATTAACAGCAACAGGAGTTACTTGCCCAAAACTCCTTAAGCATTATTTCAAGTTTAACTGCAGTCCAGTAAGATGTCGCTTCAAAGGAACATACCTTTCAAATGAACTGTTAACAGAAAGTAACTTTATTCAAGCTCAGTCCATCTTCATAAGAAACTCATGTGTGAAAAGGTTCTCCAACTCTAGAGAAACTCTTATTTGTTAGATTTATAAGGCTGGTGGGAGAAGAAAGGGAATGGAGCTGTCCACCATTACCCTCTCTCTACCCAGTCTCTAAACTCAACTGGGAAAACTCTTTTATCACAAATTTCCTTAGCCCTACCTTCCCATAGATGCATCAAGGTCTATCTGTGCTAATTACTTTCCTTTAAAACATGTGTATTTGTGGCATTTTCAAGTGCCACACATAAAGCTTTTGTTTTTCCACAGAAATATAACCAACTCTTAAAATGTTCAAAAACTATATTAATGTAGAAAATGCCTGAATTATGGCAACATAGCCCATTTTTTCCTTCTACAGTATCTTTGCTTGGTAATCACAGTAAGTTATTCTAACATATTCCAATCCCGAGTAGCTTCCACTAAATGTCTCTGCCCATGGCCAGCCCACGCATCCTGATTGTCAAAAACTCTACCACAGAACCAGCAGCTAAACCTAGCTTTCAAGACATCTTCAGAGGTAGTTTTTACAATCCGGTAATTATTTTTGCTTGTCTTTTTGAGCGTTAGTTTTAGCACAAATCTTTCTTTCACAGAATTAGCAGGCTTAAGCATCTTGTGTCTCTTGGAAAAGTCACTGTAAGTTGTTTCAGAAGTGTTATAATAAACTGGTTTCAGTAAAGCATTAATAGTTGTTTGTGACAATGAAACCTTTAGTACACGACCATTAAACTTTGCAATAGTTTTCATTACCCGTTCTACTTCTGGGGCATCTGCATCAGGATGGTTCAAAACCACAACTGGTTGGTTTCTCCTAGGACATTTCACCAGCTGTTTGGAATTAAAAGGGAAAAGTCTCAAAGTTCTACTTGAATCTTTTGAAAGTCTGGGTCTGCTAAATCCAAATGTTTCCTGAACATCTTCAGAGTTAGCCTTTTCTCTACACTTTCTATACAATGCTGACTTTTTCCTTGGGGGTTCTTGGTAATTATCAATATACTTTCGTTTACAGCTTCTGTTTCTAGATACAACGGTGATTTCAGAATCTTGACTTATACGAGTCTTAATTTTTGCAAACTTATTTTTACAAGTCTTTCTTTTATTGAAATTTCTCTCCGTTGTACAATTTGCTTTATACCTTAACATTCTTGTTTCTGAATGCTCACTGATACACACTGGTTCCTTAGAAGATTCTGGGCATGTTGCAGTAGAAGTAAGAACAGTTTCATTTGCTGGCATCAAACCATCTGAGACTGGTAAGGCATCTCTAGAAGACTCTGGCTCTTTCTGCTCTCCAAGTCCTGCTAGTTTAGATGGTACATTCTCTTTCTGAAATGAGGATGCAGAGTTGCTAACTGAAAGATTATTAGCAGAACTCACACTTAAAACAGGATTAAAAATTTTTACCAGTATCTTCTGTGGTACTCCTTCAGGTCTCTTTGGCTGAATATATTGGTAAGGACTATTTCTGACTAACTTAGGCTTAAGCAGTTCAGTGTTATTTGGCATCATACACTTAAACAACACAGCTTGTTTACCATCAGGCATGAGGGTGTACAGAGATGCTTTGGCCAAGTTTTCAGTCTGTTGTTTTCCTGTACCAAAAATATTCATCTTAGGGCCCTGCTGCTCAGGTAGAATGTTAGGAAAATGAACAGCCCTCATTGAAGAACCTACTGGTGTTTTAATAATGTAAGGACCCTTCAATGGCAATGTATTCTCTGAGCAACTTTTCATGTTGACACAAGGGCCAACACTGGGACAAAGTGTAGGTGTAGGACAGTTACTGTTTTGTTCTACTTTCAGAAAAGGCGTTTTGCAAGGTTCCGTAGTTACAGTTCCATAACTTTGAACATTCTCAGTTTTGACAGTGGGAACACATTCAGGTTTCCCATTAACTGTCAAAAGCATTCCAGGTTTCTTGTTTACAAGGAGAGAAGCAGGTGCACTCTGTGTATTAACCAAAGGGAGCTGTCTTCCAGAGAAAACATGGAATCCAGGCTTGTTAGCAACTTGCACTGGTATAATAAAACCTTTTGGAGTTTGAACAAATACAGGATTTTTCTGTTCTGAGGTTAGAAATGGACTCTGAATATACACAGGACCTGAATTTTGTGTTGTGGTTCGGAGTTTGTCTTTTACAAGCTGTTGTGTTATTATTGCATCTGACTGAGTCTTAAGTAACGTGATAATACTTGGAATTTTAGCAGTTACCTCTGAATCTCTCACATCTTGTAATACTGACACCACTTGCTTTTCTTGTCCATTACATTTTAAATTCAGATCATTTCTAGGCACACTAACACCTACACTGGCAGATGGGCCTGGGAAAATATCTTGCACTTGGAAGTCTTTTGAAGATTCTACTATCATTTCTTCTTCCTCAGCTTTTTTAAATGTTTGGTCACAATCAAGTGGAAGGTTTTTACTGGGAATGTTAACAGAGTCTTCTTTTATTTCAGATTTTGGTTTTAATATATCTTGAAGTAACTGGTTTACTTCTGGTGGCAAAAACTCTGAAGCCTGCTGGCTCTGCAGAGAGAAAACAGATGTGATTCTGGGCATCATAGGGGAGCCAGCACTGGGAATGTCATCCCATTTAGCTTCTTCAGTCACACTCAGTAAGTCTTGGTTTTCATTAGTGAAGAGGCTGTGTTTATCAAAGTTTTGTCCTTCTTCTAAATTACACGGTTCTTCAATTTCAGCTTTCATTTTTAAAGTTCCATCTTTATCATCCAATGGGCTGACAGATGCTGACAGGCTATCTGAGTTGGAGCTCTCCTTTCTCATTGGTGAGGAAAGTGTATCACTATCACTAGTTGACTCTTCAGTAACTGTTTTGTTTGCAGAGTCCTTCTGAAGATTTTCAAACACTGCTGTTCTTGAAAATCTACGACGCTTATTATTCACCTTTGAGTAATTGTGAAAAGGTAATGATCCTTGGTTGGAGACATCAGAATGGCTGGAGGATTCATCAGGTAACTCAGAACTGACATAATTAATGCAATAGTTATGCATATCTTCACAACTGTATGCATTTGGCTTAGGGGTAACGTTGACTTTATCTGGACTTTTAATGTTGGTGGTACTTAACACATCTGGATGACTCTTGGTGGTGTCATTTTCCCACAAGTCAACATTATCTGTTGCTTCAACTTTTGTGGTCAAAGCCACTGATGCAGTAACTGATTCTGATGTTGCTGGCAAAGAACTTTTACTGCTACCTACTGTCTGAAGCATATTATTCTTTTCAGATACGAAAGCCATTTCTTTTTCAGAAATTTCTTTCCTGGAAAGCACAGGAGACGAACATGAAAGTGGAGCTGCTTTCACAAAATCTGTGTCATTCACCCCAGTTGTTACTCCAGTTGCAAATCCAGTGTTGTCCAAAGCCTGGGGTGGCAAATTAGCTGTACTATTCTTTTCTTTGTCTGGTTGTAAGGCTGGTGCAGATAAGTTCTGTTTACTGACAGGCAACAATTTTATTACAATATGCTGTCTCCCATCTACCATCTTGAAACCCATAAACTTAGCACTGTAGTTAGCGGGAATTGTTATCTTATTATTTCTCACCAGTAACACTGTAGGCCCTTGGAGACCACTCTTCAAGAAACTTGAAGTAGCATTTGCTCTCTCATCAGCTTTACTATATTGCCCAGTGGACAGCAGAGTTGACTTTTCTGATTCTGTGGGCTTATCACCATTCTCACCATGCAGTCTTTTACCCTTTTCTTCATTTAATTGCTCTTGACTCTGGTCTTCAGATTTAGTCTGTGTTTTGCTCACTGTATTAAACACTTGAGCATTTTTTCCTATACTTTCTTCATTCCCATTGGTAACTGTCTTACGTTTCCAAAACGTCTTAGTTGGACCTATTTTGTATCTTTTAAGTATTAGTTTAAGTCCTGTTGTAGTTGCCACTCTTTTATCGTATTGGTCTTTTTCCAGTTTTTCTTTCGCATATAAGTGTTCTTTATGCAAAGTTATAACATGTCTGACAAGCTGATCTTTATGAATGGCACCATAGCTACAGTAGTGACAAGTGAAGGGAAGAGTACCAGAGTGGGCACGAAGGTGCTTCTGAAGTTCTCCCTTGGTAAAACAGACATGACGGCATTTTCCACATTTATAATGCATTTCTTTATGTCTGTGGATGTGCTGAACAAATGTGCCGACATCCTGGGTAAAGAACCTACACTCTTCACACTGAAAATTACCATTAACACAATGGTTAGATGTGAAGTGTTTTGTCAAGTCCAATAATGTATATGAACGCTCACTGTTACAAATATCACATTTTACAAAAGTGTTCCGGTGGGTTTTTCGATGTTGCTTAAATATCTGGAAGTCATTTGCTGAAAAACTACACATTTCACAAGGAAATGAAGGTAACTCACCATGGTGCCACATTTCAAAGTGTTTCTGCAAATCATTTGGACTATACTGAGTACTGTCTTGGCATTTTAAACAACTGAAGTTGAGTATTTTTGCAGACATGTTTACACTCTCTTCTTCAACTCTCTCAGATTTACAAGGCAGTACACATTCTTCTGCACAAGTTACTGTCTTTACACTGATAGATTTCCTTGCGGTCTGTGGTTTACTCTGAAATAATATTCTGTATTTTTCAACTTCATGTTTCATTAAGATTTCATTTGGAATATTTATCTTGGGCAAACTGATGTTTACATTTTTTAGTTTGTAATGAAAACTAGTTTCTGAAATTTTTGGTGTAGGTAATGATCCAAGAGTATCTGCTGTCTCATTTCTTGCATCAAATTTTTTCAAAGTAGTTTGTTTTTCATCACAAAATGGCTGTGTCTGTTCAAATGGCATGATTCAATTAAAAAAAAAAAAAAAAAACCAGTTTCTTCTGTTCTTTAAACTTGAAGTTATTTGTGAGTTAAACACAAAACAATACTGAGCTGCAACATCTTCAAAATAACCAGGATTTTCCTCACCAATTCATCTAAAATTAAACAAAGAATTAAAATTTTTACCACAAAATTCAAAGTGAATTTCTTCTTTCTAAGTTCATTCTGACTCAACAAAGCAGAAATGCTAATCAAACACATATACTAAAGACACAAAGCCTGCTTTATTAAGAAAGCCCAGATTTAGAGAAGGCTTCATCTAGCAATAGAAACAGTACAATTTAGCTTCTGAAATCTCTCCTTCACTTAGCTTCATGGCCAGCCTCTAGGTGATGGCAAGATGGCTATTCTCAGTGAGCGGCCTTCAGGATACAAATTTAATAAAAGAACATATCACTCCTCCAAAAGTCTTGGCCCAAATTTTCTCAAGTGTCATTCCCTACAATAAAACAATTTTCTAGAAATGACCATACCTGATTTGTAAGCCCCTCATTGGAGCCAGAGGCATAAAAGCACCATCAAGCATGAACTGATATTAGGGACTATAGGATGCTTCCCTAGAAGACAATCAGAGCATTATTACCAGAGAGTAGGAATGGACAAGATAAATACAAAGGCAATATAAATACTTGAGGTTTTCTGTTTGTTATTGTATAAATAGAGTATTACATAAAAGACTTTTTAATATCTTAATTTTATTTTATTTTACTTTCGTATGTACTTCTTTCTAAGAAACCAATGCAAACAGATCTAGTTCTTCTAGCCCTTCCAATGGCTACAGAACATCTCACATAGTGGATGTGTGCCTACTTCTTACTGCTGGTGAACTTCTACTCTTTTGCTATTACAAACGCTGCTATGCTATAGACTCTGACCAGGGAACAAGATCTAGAAGGACACATTAAGCTGAGCTGCTTGTGACTAGATGACTTTGTTCTTGTGTTTTGTTTCTTGTAATGCACATATTAAAAAAAAAAAAAAAGCTCTTTTTAAAAGCTAAAAAAACAAAAATCTAAAGACAATTACACGAACTATCATAACCTGTCACATTTATAGATACAATATTTCTGAAAGATATCTAGACATACATTTGTTTTCATCCTAATGTGTACTTTGTAGTTCTAAAAATTCCTTATATCCAACAAAATTAAAAAACCTACACTGGAAATTTTATGAAAGAATTACAGAATTAATCCTAACTTTCTTTCTCATAGATAGCCTATATTTATTTTTTTGTGCTTCTCTCTGAACAGAAAGACAGTATGTTCTATGAATAACATCAGAGGAAAATGTGTATTTATTGTCTCTTATATTAAAAGGGATTTAAATTGAAATGACTATTGGCTGCAAAGTTACAATATACTAAAACTTCAAAACATAAACAAATAAAAAACCTATAAAAGCAAACTTCCTATCAACTATTTTGTTGCATTATATTAATACATTTCAAAGCAAAATTTTCAATAATGGTATCAACAAAAACAATCGTCATCAATTTATAACTAAGTTACTGATTCATAAATTTTTGAAATAGTGAACTTAGAATGGGATCTTTAAAAACTTTTGTATTAGCAAAAGGGGATATGTGTGCCTGTGTGTGTATATATACACATAGTAGTGAAGGTTATAGGAAGGGCATAGGGTCCTAGAAGAAGAAAAGCTACTAAAAGTAACTAGAACTTTTGGGACCCCAGGATGTAAGGATGTCTAAATGAATGTTCTCCTTCATCCAGATAGACCTTAAAGATGTTTCAATAATGACTAGCTACATAAAAGCTTAATTTACAAATAAGTAATGCCCTTAGCTTTTACTTAAACTTGGTAACTGTGAATTAATGCAGAATGTCATTTCAGTGTGGGAAGAGCTCACATATTTCAGGTAATTGAGGGCTTGTAATTTGATCTCAAATTTCAACTTTACCTGGAGAATCTCTGTGATCTTGAAGCATGTTTACCCTCTAAGTGTGTAAGTAATGCCACCAAGAGAACAACTTATACTAGAGCTGCCACCTTTGGTGGAAAGGGAAAAGGAAAGGAAGGAAGGAAGGAAGGAAGAAAGGAAGGAAGGAAGAAAACAAACTATGTTATAAATACCTCAGGTAACACATACAGGAATTTTATCATAATTTTTAGCCCTACCTATTAAGCTAGTTTTTAATTACAGTTCAATTTCCATCTCTACCAACAAAGTTTACTGGTTATGTGAACTATGGTTTCACTAACTTCTAAGTTTACCAATATCCAAAATCACTGAAATAAGGCACTTTTATAAAAATATTACAATATCTGGAGTTTCCTACATCATGATGGCTAATAATAACTATAGGCTTTCTTCCCTTTGCCAACTGACCAGTGAAATAACAAAAAGACTTAATAAAAAAAAAAATTGTAAAGGAAGGTCTAGAAATAAAATTCCATAAACATATTACAAAACATTTGACAGGAAATGGCCTGGTGAGAAAGACAAATGCTGACCCTAACATCAGCATGACTAACAATCATCATTAAAAAACAAAATGTATTTGCTTTTAAGTGACATGGGGTTTAGCTATGTTTCCTATGTTGCCGAAGCAGGACTCAAATTCCTGGTTTCAAAAGCAATTTTCTTCCTCCTCAGCTGGTGAGTAGCTGGAACTACTGGCTTAAGCATTATAATCAAATGCTAACCACCATTTTGAAAGAGGAAGAAGTCCATTAGGAGATACCCCATTCAATTAATATTTAATGACTATCAATTATATTGTAAGTAAGAAAGTAACAAAATTTTGCCCCCTTTATCCACTAAACATACCTTGGGAGAGATGGAGACTTGAATGAAAGATGTGATTGGAGCTCTTTGGGGGACAGAGGCTCAGGCTAATATATGAAAAAGGAGAGAAGAATCCAGAGTTTCCAGCTGAGTCCAGAAGCCAGGAAGAATAGGGACTTGCTAGTATCAACTGTCAGAAGAGATGTAAACGGAAAATTGTTGTGAACACAAATGAACCTTCCTATACTAACAGCTATCTTTCTCTGCCTAGTACTGTCTTCTCTTCAGTTATGGTTAGTTCACCTTCTAATTAACAAAAACTAAGAAAATCTTGTTTTATCTCATCTGAACTATTGATGCCATTAGAAACTTAAGCAGGAGCTGGGCATGGCGATGCCTGCCTTTAATCCCAGCACTGGGAGGAAAAAGGATCTCTGTGACTTTGAGGCCAGTCTGTGGCATATAATGACCAGGCTGTTCAGGGATACACAGTGGTATCAAAGAAAAAGAGAAAAACAACAAACAAACTAAAAGGATAAGCACAAATAACTGGATAAAGTGATGGTTGGTTGAAAGGAAAAAAGGAAATAATTTAAATATTCAGAGAAACTTTTTCTCTTTCTCCTATCCAGGTGACTATAATATGTTATTGCCTTTAAAAAAAAAAAAAAAAGAAAAGAAAAGAAAAAGAAAAGAAACAAACAACGAATATTTCTTTCAAAAATCAAGTAATACAACAACTCCCCATATCCCCTGAAGTCATCAAGGGATAGGGAAAACCTCTCCTCAGTAGATGCCTAAAACCAGAAGTACCTAAAATCCTGTATATACATTTATTTATCTTCTTACACATATCAGTGATGAAGCTTAGCTTATAAAACACAGTAAAAGATTAACAATAAAAATAGAATATTATTCTATAATAAAAAGTATGTAGTTACTGTATTATATTTATCATTCTTCTGGTGTTAAGTCTAATGATAACAATGGTTCCAAAGCAAGGTAGATGATACAAACACTGGAGCATAGCACTGAGCTACTACACTGGGAAATAAGATGCCATGAACATCAAGGTGACAAGTGAGACACCTCCCAAGTGACTAGCAGGCAGGTAGCATATACAGTGTGGACCGTCTGACAAAGAAATAATCCACATCCCAGGATGTACAAAAATAGACTTCAGCACATCTCTCAGTGTAGCATGCAATTAAGAACTTATCAACTGATTATTTCTGGACTTTTCTAGTCATCATTTTCAGACTATCACTGTCTGTTAAAAAAATGGGAGAGTCCTATAGTTAGCAATCACAGTGAGATTCAAAGTTATATATTTTTAAAAAGCAGCTAATGTTATATAAGAGAAAACAAGGTAAATAAGGAAAAAATAATTTTGAAATCAAAAGAAAAAAATTACAGTAATTTTAAAAAGAGATTGAATTTTCAAAACCAAAGTTTTTCCAAATGCTAGGTAAATTACCAGTAGAAAGAAAATATAAAACTCAATACTTAACAACTTATCTTATAAAAATTTTTAGTTTAAAAGACAAAATAAAATTCTATTAAAATATGGTAAAGGAGTTATCTTAAATGGGATTAAAGTTTTCATTAACTGCATCAACTAGTTAGCCAGCTATACCCAGTACTAGCCAGCTATAAATGTACTGAGATATGGAATATGGAACAGACATTTATGGAGTTTTCAGAGGAAAGGAAAAACCCAAGAGTTCATTCTACATCCAATAAAAACTCTCAAGTGAGAAAAAGTATACAAAGATCCAGAGACTATATAATAAAATCTGTAACACAGAAATAAGTACAAACAGTATTACTAGTATAGTTAAAGAAGCAGAAAAGATTGGAGAAAAGGAACATATACACATCAAATACCTAAGAAATTCTTATGGAAAAATTAACAGTGAGTTTCCATTGCAGAGATTATAAAAAGAAAATGCTAGATGTTGGAAAGATGACCAAGAGCACTTAACTTTATCAACTGTTGGCCAGAGATTAAAAAATGACACATCTTACACTCTGAATTTACAGAAGACCAGGAATTGCAGTACCAAGCAGGTAGGAAAGTTAAAGTAAAGTGAAATTTGGAGAAATAAACTGCATTTTTTAAAATATAAAAACAAAAGGCAACATCCACCATATTAGAGTGTAAAATTGTGTTAGCATTAGCTAAGTTATAAAATTATATGTGTACCAGATAATGGTTTTAAAACAAGATTTTATAATTCGTTATCAGTAAATATTTAATTTGTACACCTATTTTATAAGCCTGTTTACTCAGAGTTACATACAAATTTCTTGGGCAAAGGTGTCAATGAGTAGAAAAATTTCATAAACCTATAATAGAATACTATTTTTTGTTTATCTGATTGTTTTGAGACAAAGAATTCAAACAATGACCTAGAATACTGTCTACCATGTCATATACTCTGTACTAATTAACTAACCATCTTCTTCTGGCCCCATAGGCCAGAATGCATAAGGTGTAAATACACACATGTAAGGAAAACACTCATACATATAAAAATTTTTAAAAAGAATCAATCTTATAAAAAGAGTATGTATCAGTATCATCCAAACATAGGTTAATAAGAATATGAAAGCTGGACAGTGGTGGCACATGCCATTAAGCCCAGCACTTGGGAGGCAGAAGCAAGTAGATCTCTTTGAATTCAAGAACAGCCTGGTCTACAAGAGTGAGTTCCAGGGCAGGCTCCAAAGCTACACAGAGAAACCCTGTCTCAAAAAAAAAAAAAAAAAAAAAAAAAAAAAGAATATGATAGCCAAGTGATATTGTAGCACACACACCTTTAATCCCAGCACTTGGGAGGCAGAGGCAGCAGACTCTTCAGCTCTCCCAAGTATGTGGATGGCAACCAAAGGACAACATGACTACAAGCCTTTAGGGACAACTGTGTATTTAGTCCTGTCCTTGAACTCTGGAAATCCTTAAACTTTAAAGTAAGTCTTCTTTTGCCTTAAGCTAGCTCATACTGCTTCTACTAAATGTAACCAAAGGCTCATACTTGAGACATATAGTAGACAAACCAATGTTAATTGTACTTGTTTCACAAAAAGGTAGGCTTTGTGAAAATCCTTCAAAGAACAATAGGACTTAAACATACAAGAAAGACTGAAAAGGTTATCTAGACCAAAGAACAAGAAGCTCAGAGAATGCCTAACAGAAGGCTAAGCAAGAACAAGATTATAGATGACAACTGTGAATTTATATGAAAGCATGGTTAGTTGATAAAGAGAAAACGTAAGAGCAGGATTTCCAAAATAGTAACAGGAATGCACTAGAAAACAAGATAAATTGAAGAGGAGTAAAAGTAGAGGGGAAAAAAAAAATCAGGTCAACATGACAAAATAAGTTGGGTAAACACCAGTAATTCCAGCACTTAGGAGGCAGAGGCAAAAGGATTCTGATTTCATAGGCAGCCACTATATAGCAAAATCCTATCTCAAAAAACCATATATATGTAATTTTTTTTTTTTTTTTTTTTTTTTTTTTTTAAAGTCAGGAACTAGGCTAGGAGGTGGTGGCACACACCTTTGATCCCAGCACTCCAGAGGCAGAAGCAGGTGGGTCTCTGTGATTTCGAGTCCAACCTAGTCTACAGAGCAACTTCCAGGACAGCCTAGACCCTGTCTAGGAAAACAACAACAACAACAAAAAAAAGGTCAGGAACCAGGAAAGAAGCAACGTTGACACAGGTTAGAAATCAAATAGTATGTGATAGACTGAGAAATCCCATAGCAAAATGCCAAGGATAAGGAGATCCCAATAAAGTGAGGTTTTCTTGCTTCCTATAGCAAATCAGAGACACTCTGCAAAGCCTAAGAAGGAAAAATTGTGGGTTATTCACTAAATTCCAGTTAATAACAAAAAATAACAAATAACAAAAAGCCTAGTTTTAATCTTAACAGTGCTTGTGACTCAGCACACAGCTCTGTAACATCACAGTACAGATTGGAAAGCTAGTAACTGTCATGACTTTTGTCTTTATAAGGACTGCATTCTTTGACAATAATTCAACCCTTTTTCTGTAGTGATATTAAGTGCAAACAGACATATGAACACATATGACTGGAGAAAAAAAGCCAAAGCAGCATAAAGCAGGAAAAAAAAAATTACTGATTATTCTGCCTAAGAAAAAATCAAAATAAAAGCAAAATGACAACAACAGAAAAAACTTGTCTATTTCTTTAAAATCAGATTCTATAATAATATCCTCAAAATACTGTCTTTTCATGATTTAGAAAAAAGCACCTAAAACTTTTCTCTTTTCTTTCAGTAGTCTAAATTTAAAAATTTTAAAATGTCCACCTAAGAAACTCATACTACTGTTATATATTATATATGCATATATATAAAATCAACTAGAGCCTGCTCATTTCTAATCAGTGTGACCTGATAAGCAACTTAAACACAGAAAACAGAAATAGAGATTAGCATAACAAATTGACTTCATATGCATAAAACAGACGTGATAAAGTATAGGTCTAGAAATGCCAAAATTCTAGTGCATATATGACCCACAGATCATTCAACAAGACAGCTACAAAGGAGTTTAAAATTGAAAAACAGATGCAGTTCTTGGTTCAGGGAACTCCAATTCCTTAGTATGCCCAATACATTTACCTTTGTTCTGACTGCTTCTTTTCAACCAAGCATCTCATCCATCCTTCCCCTCTACCTCAATTAAAACTGGTCAAACCCTCCTCAGTGCAGAACTCCTACACATTAATCTCTTCTTTAAATATTCATATAAATGGTAGCCACTACTCACCAGTTTATTGAAATCTCTTTGAAAAAAAAATTTTTTTTTTTTTTAATTTCCCTGGTCTACGCAGAGGGTTCCAGGACAGCCAGGACTACACAGAGGACCCATCTCAAAAAACTAATAAAATAAAATAAAGGGATACTATCAAGTGAGTGGCCCATTAACAGTAGAAATCTATTTCTTATAGTTCCAGAGTCTGGAAAGGTCATAATCAAGGCACTAGCATTCTTGTTATCTTCCTAGTTCATAGACAGAGAAGAAATAGCAAAGCAATTCTCTAGGGTCTTTGTCTGTCTTTCTTCCCAAAACAGGGTTTCTTTGTAGCTGGAGGCTGTCCTGGAATTTGTTCTGTAGACCAGGCTTGCCTTGTACTCACAGAGACCTACCTGTC